CATTTGTGCATTTGTTTTTTTTTTGAAAATAGGGTACCTAAAAAAATCTTACCAGTACGGTTTGGCATCATTTGCCCCATTCAGATGCAATTTTAGGGTTTATCCATTCTTGGACCATTCTGTCACAATATGGGGATGGGTCATGCCAACTATATTTTTCCAATATATATATATATAAATACATAGTTAAGGGATCGTTGGTATCATTGCTATCTATGAGTACCAGCAGCTGACCTTTCGAAACAGATGATTGATCAACTGACTAATCAAATGCAAATTTTCATATTAGAAACAGCATCTGATATTCAAAAGGCTTGAAGCATTGAAACCAACACCAATCTGAAACTTGAAGCTGATTTTTACTTACTATGAAAAACTGAAATCAATAGAATCAACTGTTTTCATCTTTTCATTAGTTATATAACTATTGAGATCAATTACCCCACTAACTATTGTGGAGTCAGATCACTAAGATCTATGAACAATAGTCACAACCAATAGAAAATAGTCAATGTCAATAAACAATAGTGATTGATAACCTATACGAACTAGAAACCCCAGCAGCAGTGAATCAATAGATTCCCAATAGATCATTCATAGAAGTGTGTTTTTTTTTTTACTAGGTGCAGCTAGTGTTAATTCCCTAGGGATCCTGAGTTGCACTTATTGCATGACAAGTGTTGATGTTTTTTTTGGACTATCGATGCCATAGTTTCATATCCGATAGGTTTTTGTTGATGCCATTTGCGGATGCCATTGGTTATCATCAAATCTAATGATTCATCATGATTCCATCCCTCGACCCATGTCGAACCCCTCCACACTGCCCATCTTCAAGCCGCCACGGACACCATGCCCACTTGCATGGAATGCATCTCGGCTGCATTTTTCTGTGTGCAGGGCAGGGCGTTGGTCAAACACCAGTTCCTGGTTGCCAACATACCAACCGCAACTGCCATCGGAGTAATATACGATACTCCATGATTGGCTTTGCAACAGCAACAGCTAACCTTTTTCAGCAATCCTACATTATCTTCATCTTTGTAGGTGTGGTGATACTTGATATTGTATCTATACATCAATATTGATCTTTAGGTTTAGACCATATTAAACATTAATGATTGATCTTGTTGGTGAATTATTTTTTTCGTCTATTATAGTATACCTATATATATAAATGTTTTCCCCCAAGTGGATAAACCTAATATTGGTTTTAACTAATGATTAGATCACTTTGTCAGATATAAAGTCAAAAAAAAAGACTATCAATTCCCGTTAGACAGATAGATAGATAGATAGATAGATATATATATATATATGCATTTCTCCAAGTGGATGAACCGAATATAGGTTCCCATATCCCCGATTAAGACACAGAAAAAGACTAGATAATTGTCAATAGTCACAATCGTGGTGATTGATAACCTATACGAACTAGAACACATAGATACCCCAAGTAGTGGATTAATAGATTCCCATTATAACATACATTTCTCCAAGTGGAAGAATACCTAATGTAAGCCTAACAGTGATTTTTAACAATAATTAGATAATTGTGATTATTAACAATAATTGTGATTGATTAACTATAGTGAATGTTAGATAATATTGATTTATAATTAATTGTGTTACTTTAACTATTACCCTCTGGTAAATTTACATAGACCCTGGCAAATAGGACTTGGAAGATGAGTTTCCATTAAAAATTGGGTTATTTTCAGGGTCTATGCTTATTTACCAGAGGGTAATTAAGTGTTACGTCAACTATTAATGTCAACCCCGGATTAATAAACCATATTTTATTGATTAGGAGGGTACTCCTCCAATAGTCATAATCTAATACTTAAATGGTACCCCCCAAGTAAACAGCCTTAGGGGTTTATTAATCCAGGGTCCAGGGTTGACATTAATTAGTTCATTGGTCAACCTCTTCCCACATCCCAGCCGTTGCCGCCTGCCGCCGTCGCTCATAGCGCTCCTCCCGCGCATTGCCGTTCGGCGCCGCCGGGCCCGGCAGGGCCGCGAAGAGCTCGGCATGGCGCGGGGCCCTCGGTGAGGTCAGCAAGGTTTTTCTGTGGAAACCATGGGAAAACCATGGGAAAATGGTGCTTTCAATGGATTTTCAGAAGCAAAACTGGTGATTTCAAAGGGATTCAAATGGTGACTTGAACAACAAAGACGAGGATTTAAGATGGTATGATGGGATTCAAGCATGATCACCAATTGGGTGTATCTAGAATAAACACATATATATATAAATATCATTGAACATATCAATATGGGAACAAGTGGGACATCACCAACAAACTACAAAGTAATGGCTGGTGCTTACCCCCCACTTAAAGGGGATGGTTCATGGGGTTTATCGCCAACACTATGATTGTTAGGATTGTCTCAAGCTGTGAGGGATAGCAACAAATTTGCGGGTGCCGATCCGTCTCGACACCAGGGTTTTCCCATTGGGAAATGATCCGAAAAAATGCTGGATGTTACCCTAGGCTAAAATAGCACAGATGTGAAAAGAAAAACACCCTTTGTTGATCATTTTTCGAAGGGGTATCCCTGGGGTATCTAGGTGAATTTACTGAAGGATATCTGTTTAACTCGGTAGGTTGGCGTCCAAAATGGCCAACCAAAACACAACCTGAACTAATCAGCAAAGGTGTATGAAATATAGTGATGGTTGGTGAGTGGGCTATAGTGGGCTGCAATTACTTAAAAGTAGGATACAATCGTTGATTAAATTCAGGGATCATCTGAGCAGTTCATGTCTGGGGGCTGCTAGCCAACTAAGAAGGAAACAGTGGCAAAGGGGCACGTTCACCAACAACAGCCGTGGGAAAATGGGTTCATTGGCATTATGAGTGTCTGTCAAAAGCCACGACATTCTCCTGAAGAGTAACATTACATGAACCTTCCAAGTGGGATCTTGACTGCGGTTTTCCTCCTATAGACTAGACATTGTATTTAATTGTTTCCAGAAACAATTAGGGATGTGAATGGGCGGGGTCGAACCCTGATACCATATTTGTGGGTGTAAATTATGATATTTCACCAGCCTGAAAAGTTCAGCTGTATTGACTATCATTCCGGTGAAAGAGAACTACTCTTCACCAAGTTTGACCATGTTTCTCTGGCCAAACTCCTGATTTCGTCCTAAATCCACACTGTTGGGACTAAAATCCTCATGGATTTTCTACGCTCAAATCCCCAAGATCAAGTGATATACCATGATATACCTGGAATTTCTTGGATGTTGGTGGTTAAACTATGTGAAACTGCCGTTTTTGATGCTTGAACACTCCATGACACCACAGGGTTCACATAGAAACTGCCCCGTAGATCCTTGTAGAGAAAAACCAGTCACCACCATCTCAAGGGACCTCCAGGGACCATCTCCAGGGCATCCCGGCACTTTCGCCAGCAACTGCGCGCTTTTCGGATCAGACTTCGCCTGGACATCGGCGCTGGATCTGATTGGCGTTCCGGGGTGGATTACTTGCTGGTTTTGACATACCAAAAACGCATGGAAAATCACCAAAAACGATGGGAAACCATGGGAAAATGGTGATTTATATGGAAAATCACCATGTTTAATGGATAAATCAACTATTTCGACTGAACCATTTTCTATGTTGCAAACTGTAAACGTTTACCAGAGGGTAACCCCACTTATCCATACTTATCCCACTTAGTAAGCAGACTAGTTCACACAAGGTATAAGTGGATCAGCCTCACTTATCCCACGAGCCAAAGCCAAGGATATGACGTGGGATGAGCCACCACGTACTGGTTGGTGGTTTCAACCCCTCTGAAAAATATAAAAGTCAGTTGGGACGATGAAATTCCCAATATATGGAAAAAATGTTCCAAACCACCAACCAGTATTGTTCAAGGGATTTAATCAGCGAAGAAGTTGACTCCATGGGACCAACTGCGGCTAGCCTTGTAGATACACTTTAGCTGGAGATAGGGAATAATTGTCCGTTTATGGATGATATTTATGGCAACAGTTGCCTGCAAATGGGTTTTATGAAACGAAAGGATTTACCTTCACATCCAAAACACATTGGACTGGACCATTGGATTGCAAAAAATACACTTGAGTTATCTTGAGTTATGCCGCTTCTTCGCTTTTCAATACAGCGAATGCCAGAAGCACAGAATTTTGCTGAAATACTGCACACCCCTACAAAGTGGGGCCCCGTTTACGATAGCTGCGACCCGCCATGTTAAAATCTGGTGAAAGCGGCGTGGATGGCTTTACGCAGCAGAAACATGTTTTCATGGCCAATCTTACCCTCTGGTAAACTAACAGTTTGCTATTGAAAATGGTCATTTATAGTTGATTTACCGATCAAAAAATGTGATTTTCCATAGTTATGTTTGTTTACCAGAGGGTAGATACCCTGCAAAAAAAATGAAATTCTTAGCTGGTGAACGTAGATAATCTCATCGATATCAAAAGACTAAACGATTAAAGTACCCATCCAATATGTTAACCTAGTTTTGGATGGTTCTGATTTTTCCCCACTTGCGGTACCACAAATGAATCGAAAAGTAGACCTTATCTACAACGAACCCAGCCGAGGTTTACCCAGATTCGAGCTGTTTCAATTTCCAACTCCAGTGGCTTATACCATCTGGTTATTTAACATAGCCATGGAAAATCACCATTTTTCAGTTCGGTAAACTATCTATATACCATCTATAAATGGGCAATTTTCCATGGCTATGTTAAATAACCAATGGCTTATATTTATGAGCATTTCTGATTGCAAACGTAGCTGTTGGACTTCCTTCATGGACTCCCATCAGTTGGTTGAATGGCGGTGTAAATCGCCAATGGCTGTACCATTATGTACCCAACATGTGCCCACCCAGTGATGTTTGTTGGTTTAGCCATCCAACTCTGGTATAATGCTATATTCGCCTAAGTTAAAATATAATTTTGCCAAGAAACTGTGGCTCCATACTTAGCAAATGGATGATTCACCCAACTTACAAACCATACTTGCGTGCCTCAAAATGAGGGGATACCACAATTTATTATAGTAGAACATACTGCCTCTGATATTTTAGTAGAATATAGTGTTGTAAAATTAAAGCAGTACCCGCCTCTGAATCTATTTACTCCAATAGAATATACTACCTAGTTTATTGCGGGTTGCCATGACCTTTTACTGAACATTGCTAGTCATAGCCCTCACATACCCTGAAAACTGTTTTGTTTGTTTCCTGGCGAAGTTTATCAGTTCAAACATCATGTCTATCCATTTTGATGGGTCAAACCTACCTTTACCCACCACCTTTGGTATGCAATAGTTCTGAGTAAGTTGTACTAATTCACAAATCTGAAATAAGGCTAACTTGGGGATGATTCCCCTTACTAGCCACCATTCCAATGAGATCTCAGTGAGGTCGTTATAATATACTCAAAATAGTTAGTCTATCAACCCCTTTTTTATTTGTAGTCTATAGTTATTTCATCACTATAAACCCAACACTTAGCCAAGGCAATTTCAAGCAACTTAGCGATTCCGAACACGGGGGGCACCATCTTTGCAAAGTAGATTGTTGGTTAGTTATATATCCCATTAAATTATCCATGATTGTCCATTAAATAACTCCTATTAAATCAAAACTAAATCTCATGAAACCATCACTAAATCCCATAAACAACACCCTTTTGAATCATCACTAAATCACCATGAAATCCTGTTAAATGGCCACTAAATCCCATTAATCCTATTAAATCATTCCTGAATCCCATTCAACCACCACCAATTCCCATGAAATCCAAAGTCAAATCCCATGAAATCCTATGAAATCACCACCAAACCCCGCGACCTTCCGGTCGGCTGGAGGACGATTGACTTCGCCTGGTGAATCCAATGGCGCGCACTGGGCGTTGCGGGAGCTCATTCTCCAAGCAGTTGGTGTTCTCGTCCAACGCCTTGAATATGTGCTACCACCAGGATCTACTGGGGCTAAGGCACAAGATGGTCTCAGCGTGCTTCAGCTGGTGGATTATGAGACGGTCTCACACCCCCCTCTTGATCCCAGATGCCAGTGTAGATCGAGCCAAGTCCTTTTCCCCATCTCATCTTCCAGTACACGTTGCGCACTCCCCGGGAGATGCTTCGAGGAGCTCACCGACACGACCTTCCCATTGAATCCCCTTGAATCATCAGTAACTCACCCAATAATGTCCTTTTGGTAAAAATAGAGGGGCCGGGAGCTGGCCCAAATCCCATCTATCATCAAACAAACCTGTTAAAGGGGTAAACCTTCAACCCCCTCTTTTTTCATCAACCAACCAATGGGAATTTGGGACATCTATGCCTCAGATCCAGTTGTCAATGGGACGTTAACATCATAAATCAGCAAGCAAAATCCCATGGAAATCTCCATTTTCCTATGGTTTTCCTATGGTTTTCCTATGGTTTTCCTATGATTTTCCTATGGTTTTCCTATGATTTTCCTATGGTTTTCCTATGATTTTCCTATGGTTTTCCTATGATTTTCCTATGGTTTTAGCTCCACTCACCGTTGCAGATCCCTTCGTTTCCCGACCCAATCCCAGGCGACCTCCCTTTCACTCGACTCCCTCGACTCCCTGGACTCCCTGGATGCCCGGCGCACGCGCACCAGCACGTCTCCCTGCAGCTGTGACGCATTTCACCAGCAAAAAACGGGTGATTTCACCATGAAATCATGGAAAATTGTGGATTTAATGGGATTTCATGGATTTACAATAAGTTTTTAATGATTGCTTTAATGGTTTTACGATGGGTTTTATTTATATTGGTATTGTTCTGGCTGAATTAGAATGACTATAGGTGTTATAGATGTGATAAACTAGTCTCTTGATGTGATAAGCCATGTGTAGGTACAGTAGATGTTTATAACTACTGATATAACCTCAAATCCATCCATTCTTGTTGATTTTGGTTCATACTTCACCAACTCAAAACCAAATGTTCTCAAACAGCCATTTAGGGATAATTCCCCTAAGCATCAGCTTATTATAACTTATGGCGACGTCACGACCTGAGGGTCAGGATCAAGCCGGATTTCTAGATGGCACAATTCACTTAGGACCAGTTATAACTTATGGCAAGTTTATAGATGGTTAGGTGACAGTGATGATCACCCACTTAGGAGACTTCCGAACCAGGGTTATTGACCACCAAGTGAAGTGATACTCCAAGGGACGGGTCAAAATTTGAACACTCGGAATTTCACAGATCTAACTGCTCAAAGTCCAGCGCAATTGCTCAGAGCGCACACTTGCGAAACAGGATTTTAAAAAAAACTCCAAGCTCCATGGTGGAGGTGGAGGAAAATAAAGCAAATGAGAACAGGAAGAGCATATAATAATTATAATATGTGACAGTGCGAGTCAATCCGCACGTACCGGGACCTATGGAAACCCGAAACAAACATGCAAGCCAGGAGGTGTGCCAATGAAAAGGTTTGCCGGAAAAACAGGCTGCAGGCTACGCCACCCCCAAAAGTTTCTGGCCAGCCACCAAGTCAATGAAGCTGGTTCAAAGAGGAAACAAGGGTGACAATGTTACAAATATGATTAGGTATATAATCTAGAATGAAGAATCTGAAAGCTGGCTCAAGCATTCAGAGGACGTCGAAGGCGTTGGTATGGATGGAGGTCATGGATTGGTCATGGATGTCCAACGTAGATGACTACAGGGTGGAAGGAGATGCTGCCATTGCAAGTTCTGTTCGTCGGCGCCCGAAAAGTACGGACTGCCACACACAGCTCTTGCAGAAGTGTGGCGTGAAGCACCTCCCCATCAGCCCCTTCCCTGGCAGCTGCAGCACTGGAAATTTTCTGTTCGTTCACTGCCAGTCAGGGTCTGCCTGGCTTATTAGTTTTTTCCCCTGGTGCATTTGTTTAAATTGCATTTTGGCACTTATGTTACAGATGTCTGCAAAACCATTTCTGGATTTGTTTATCTTAGCGATTTTGAACCTCTCTCAACGAACTCATGTCGGAATTGTCATGGTGGCTCCTTTAAGATGATTCCGGTTTTGTTCACTGGGCGCTTGCGGCCTCAAAATTCCCAAACCTAGTGTGTTTTTGTTTGCACGCGCTTGTTCCCCAAAGTTCTCGACAATTTCTCAAATCAATTGCGGGCAAAAATAGTGACCCCAAAACTTTTGGCTCAGCAGTAGGGGCTATGTTTGTTTTAGCAGGACGGCTGGAATATGATTCGTTTCGACGTAAGGTTTCGCAAATGGTTGGTTGCCAATCAGGTACATGCAGTTTGTATCAATGTTTCTTGTATGACCATGTTAGCATACATTATCTATCAAGGCTGTCCAGTGTGTACCCTCTGGTACACGTTTACATTACTATGGAAAATCACCATGCTATCAATGGGTAAATCAACGATTTCTATGGCCATTTTCAATAGCAAACTGTTACTTTACCAGAGGGTATACTCCATCAATGACCATTACTAACCATTGCTGACAATCATTAACCATTATATATTATCTATTATTAACCATTAATGTGTGTCATTTTCTAACTGCAATGGACTGGAAAGAGTGGCGCTGTAAAAGTGCCATCTTCCAGGCCCAACTGGAGCTGAACGATTTGCAGGTGGGGTATCGCGGAGCTGATTTACGCAGCATCATGGGACAAAGGAAAAACGTCGAAAAACCCAAAGCACTGCAAGAACATCAATCCGATCTAATCACGCTAAAATCATATTCTCTTTTCTACCAACTTCACTCGAAAATCCAAATCCAGGCTAAGTCACCCTGCTGAAATCCTGCACTCACTTCGCTCGGATTTGCCTTTTCAGGCTATCTACAATTGTGTCATCTGTGTTTTCTAATTTGGAATTTGTCTGCAAATCAAAAACTTGGAAAAGACAAACTAAATGGAGAATTGTTGAATATCAAAGCTAATTTCATTTGATGACACCCGCAAGGCAAATCTGAATTTACGTAATGGCTTAAAAAAAAAACATGCGCCATATCCCTTCCCAAATTTGTTGTCAAGTAAATGGGGAAAAACCACCATGTATCCACATATATTTGCTCATGTTTTGGGCTTTATCTTACTTCGCCAGCTGGCACTTTTGCAGCTCTGACAAGGTTTTATAGATGGCACCCTCACAGCAATAACAACAACATCAACAACAGCAACAACAATGCTATTAATCAATTCTTTTTTTACATAGATATATTTCAACCAGAGACACAGACACACACACAAAAAAAAATATACACACCTGGTTAATATGCGAACACGAACACACAAAAAGCATCAATACAAACTTCGCGCACTTCATTAGCAGCCAAAGATACGAACATTTTAGTTCAGAAACCAATCAACATTCCACTGGATCTTTTACCTAAAAAAGATAGTTCCAAGTCAGTGTTGAACGAAAAGTCTTCCAGTCAAACATCAATGCTATACCTTTCGTTGACAACAATGCTATACCTTTCGTTGACAACATGTGTGAACGTTCATTGTGCAAAATCATGGGTATAATTGATATAAAAAAGACGACCCAAACCAAGAGTTGGATACAATCTATCGAACTTTCTCTGCAAACCTTGGACGAAAAGACGCAATTATCCCAGGCAAAAGACCACAATAGCCAGGCAGACCCTTCAGTGCTAGCAGGCTGATGTGCAACGCTTCCTTGAAGGGTGCCGTAAAAGCTACCCAACAAGAAGCGTGTGTACTCGCCATCGCGAGGTGGTTGCGCACGTGGTCCGCAGGCGCCGCAGGACGAGATTGGAGCGTCTGGAGGGCGTTGAGGCAGGGGCAGCTCCAGTTCAGCACATGCTGGGGCTGAATAGGAGCACCACCTCCCTCTGCTTCTTCAGCACCGTACGTCGTTGGCATCTCCATAGCCATAATAGGTCCATGTATGGAATATTTACCTACATTTACCCCAAAAATGACCCAAATGTAAAGGTAAATATTCCATACATGGAGCACCTGGGTGATGATTGATCACTGAATTTTCAGTCAAACCCAAGTACCCTCTGGTAACCTAACATAACTATGGAAAATCACCATTTATAGTGAAATTTCCCATGAAAAATCATGATTTTCCAGTTCGTTACTGTTAAATTACCAGGGGGTACCCTCCGGCAATGACCTCCATGGCTAGCTTTTTCCACCCACCAGTAGGCTGACCTCCGGTGTCTTCTCGGGCTCAACAGGCTTGCCAGCAGGCGACCTGGGGGCCACAAGGTGAGGCTGGGGGGCCTGGACAACGGCAATTTGATGAACCAAAAATTTGGATTTCCATAGGGATTTATGGCTGATTTATGATAAGTTGATGCACAGTTCACGCCTGGTTAACGTTTGGGTTTTGGGGGAGACAACAAAATAGTTAATGGGTTAATGGGTTTACTAAAACCAACTTAAACATCACTGGCTGGGCCTCACCGTGGAGAAAGTTTGGGATTCACCGATAGTTGGATGGGCAAACCATGGCAAACCAACTTACAACAGGGTGAACCAAGGATCTACAGTGGATGTCAACCCATTCCTGTCACCAACCCAGGTGACCCCCTGAATAAGAGGGGCTTCTTTAAGGCTGAGCAACCAACAACCAGAAATTTTAAGGCCTAAGGGACACGTCTTAACCAGCTATTCTTGAAGTGTCTGCTCTGGGGAAGCTGAATCCTCATGTCTCCATTTCAACCGATGGAAATTGGAGGTACCTACCATATACATATATATTTATTTTTTGCCCTTGCTTTTTAGGGCTATGTGAGGGAATATTCCCACGAAATGTGGCGAAACATGTGCCAATCAGTAGCTCCTCTTTAGGGTCTTCAAAGTCCCACTGATGATGTTCTTTGTTCCAATCTCAACTGATTGGTGGTGCAATAACCATCTTGAAAAATATGAGTTCGTCAATGGGAAGGATGACATCCCATATATGAAATGGAAAATCAAAAAAAAGTATTTAAAAATGTGTGAAACCACCAATCAGTCAAGTGGTTTCAATTCTTCAAGCTAATCTCGGAGAGCCAAGGAATCGTACAAGCAACCCAGAGATTCAAGATGATCCAAGAGATAATTGTTCAGATGTTCCCAAAACTGAATCTCGTTGCCCCACCGCCAGTGCATAGAATGACAGAATGTTACAAAACTGCGAAAACAAAAAACATCAACAACTTGGAATTTCAGTGAAAAAAATCAGGGCTCAACTGAGAAGAATTACTATACGGATTGTACTGGCCAGTCCCGCTTGAAAGATTTTCCCATTTTTGAGGTTCATACCCTCCGGTAAACTAACATAACTATGGAAAATCACCATTTTTAATGGGAAAACTCACTATAAATGGCCATTGTCAATAGCTATGTTGGTTTACCAGAGGGTAACCCTGGTGATCAGAAGTCCTCTGCTTGTCACGTTTGTTGGTTCGTCGGACGCGCAGCAGCGATCGTTTGTTGGCCCAGGCATTCTCGAACTGTGACACCACGGCCTCGAACTCCTTGATGTCCGGGTACAGGTCCACCAGGTCCACCAACTGCTGCAGAACCACCAGCTGACAAACGTAGCGGACAAGCTTCAGTAAACATCATGGCCAGCCAGATACCTTGCAAAATATGACCAATTCTTAGCTAAGGGCTCGATAATCCTATGCCAAGTCAGACTAGTTAGGAATAGTTTCTACCCATCCAGTCGATTCACCATGAAAATAACAATTTATAGTTGACTTATCCATAAAAAATTGTGATTTTCCATGGCCATCTTAGTCTACCCATCCAGTCGATTGACCTACTTAGATGGAACATGGGAAAAACGCGATTCCTGGTTAGTAACTGGGGATTCTTTACCCCCTATATCTAACCAGTTAGTTTCTGGCTAGTTGACTAACTATAAATGGTTAACCAATATAAATTGATATCTACCCCATTAATTATAACCCATTTACTAGCTAGTTTTCCCTAACTCCATGTCTAAGTAGACATTGGTACATCATCTCCGCTAAGCCTCGAAGCCATGTAACTAGGGCCTCACCTTATAGGGCCATATCCCTTGCGGACCGGACCTGACGGACCTAGCTCCACTCTGTGGGCTCCCTTTACCGAATGGGTATGGTAATATACTAATACTAAGGTAATATACAAATAGTCATCTAATACTATTAATGTTGATTGTATGTCATGTTTCTTGCGTAACGCGACTGGAACATACAGTAAGTGCCATGATTTCAATCACCATGAAACATCTCCATTCAATCCCTTTAGGTGAACTTCCACAACAAACCGCCATTTTTCCTGGTGAAATCACAATAAACAAGTAAACATATTTTACACCATAATTTTGTTTAGCTTTTAGCTTCCATAAAATAAGGAAATATTCAAGATTAGAGACAAACATATCTCTCAGATGTAATCAAACCTCCAGTATATTGTATACTCTATTCTGTAATCCATTTACTGTATATACCCAGTTGTTTTCCGCATTTAGAGATTGGTTTAACTGATATAGTATTTCGATGAATTTCGTATATTTCCATAAATTAAAGTAGGGGGCCTCACGTTGTAAAATTGTGAGTTTTTGTGTTAACTTCCAAAAAATCGCATGTTTTGGTCTGGAATGATCCTCCGCATCACCTGCTCCCGCCCTCATCGCCCAAGCAGCCAGTGTTCAGCACGACGCAAGCGGCCCATGCGACCCAAACCTCAGCGTCGCGCGCGAATAGCGGGAATCTCTCATCTTTAAGCATCAACAAAGGTGGTTGTACAACCAAAAAATAGGCTTTTCAACAATTAAGAATAAGGCTTTCACCAGCAAGAAACCCCGAAAGTATATACAATGCGGGACCTTATAGTTATTTGCGTACCATAAACCATAGTTAACCTAGTTGGAAACCAATTTAGCTATCGTTTGGGGGCCCCACGACTTGTAGGTGGTTAGAGTCAAAGATTCACCAAAAAATGGGGGTCCACAGATTTCGGCTTCCGTTTCGAAATTCTCCCGTCAATCCACCAAGAAAATTCAGAAGGGAAACACATGTGAAATTAACCATCAAACACTTACCAAATAAGTTAAATATTTACATTTAACATCATTCAACCACTTATTTCACCAATTTGATTTGATATGATTAATATTTGATTGTTCATAATCAATTATTAAATTGGTGAAATAAGTTAAATATATTCATAATTATTCATTAAATATGACATATCATATCATGATTGGAACATATTAAATATGAAATTAATATTAAATTGGACCATATATTGTTCCATTTTAACTTAATATTCCAATTGGTCTTAATTAATTATGCTGAAATAAGCTAAATATCTCTCAATCTCAATTGAACCATTATTTCCGCTGCTGAAATTCCACCTACTTAATCCATCCATTCATGTGGTCATTTTGACTTAAATCCCATGTAAATCCCATTAAATCACCATTTGTGCTGGTGAAATCTATTGAAATGAGCATGTTTCATGAATAAATTCCTTAAATTCTCATAAATCACCATGAAATCCCATGAAAAATCATTATGTTTATATGGATAAACGATGGATAAACCACATTAAACCACCATGAAATCACCATGAGATTCGCCCAGCGACGTCGCAACAGCTCCTCGGCGTTGGGCCGTTTCTCAGCATCGCGGGTCAGCAACATGGAAACCACCTGGTTGAACTCCTGTTGCGTTTCAGGGTGATGGGTTCTTTTTAGGCCTCTCTAGGATTTAAAATGGTGATTTAATGGTGATTTACCCTCTAGTTATTTGACATAGCCATGGTATAGATGGCCCATAGAAATAGATGGTTTACCCATTAAAAATGGTGATTTTCCATGGCTATGTTAAATAACCAAATGGCAAGTCCAAGAAATGGTGGATTTGATGGGATTCAGTGGCAATTTTGTGGAAAGTGGTGTGTTTAATGGAGGATTCATGCATGGTTTGATGGTGATTTGATGGTGTTTAATGGGAAGCAATGGTGATTTCAAAGCAAAAACAATTAAATATTAAGAAAGTGGGATATCATGGTGATTTGCCATGAATTCATGGCAATCTACTGGGAAATAATGGTAATTTGAGCTGAGTTCATGGTGACTTATAAGGTCTTTATAGGACTTAATGGTGATTTACTTGTGATTTGATAGTGATTTAAGTCCAACAAATCGTGATTTGATCTGATTCAATCGTGATTTCATGGAAGGTGGTGTTTGTCCAATGGAGGATTGATGATTAATATGATTTTAATGGGATAAAAATATCATGATCCGGACATGATTTTTCATGGTCATTGATGGGTTCTCTGATCCAGTAGTCATGTTCATGGTATTTTACCAAGAACCATGATGATTTTTATGGGATTGAAGAAAGAAACATGGGATTTCACAAAGGATTTCATGATGACTTGGGATTCTGATAAGATTTAAGCAACATGAGGATTCTTGATGGGAATTTTAGATGGAATAAGTTACTAGTCACCAAGATGGATATGTTGCTACATTTGCTTTGCTATAAATATATATATATATCTCTCATTTACTATGTAATCCCAAAACAGTATGTTTGAATATCCCCCATGACTCCTTTGGGTTGCAGTTCCAGTTGTAAGATGTTATAAGCAGATATAATCTAGGATCAGCAGCATGGGCAGAAAGATCTCGGACGGTTCCAAGATCAGCGGCCATGGAGGGCATGTGAGCTCCAAAGATTTCGATTGTCTGCCCCGACAACTGCCGGGCATTGCGAAGTTCATTGCGAACATCCTGCAACTCACGTCGCATCCAGACGAGCTCGCCATGCATCCGAAACACCACATCGACCAATTCGTCTGTAGAAGATGAATTTCCAGGCGTGTTCGAAACTCGAACACCGCAGCCTGCCCTCCCCGGGCGCCCAGATAAATCTGATAGTTGAGCTCAGCTGCAGCAATTTGGATTTCAGATCCCATGGCAGATCCAATGAATCTGAATCAACTCCACTGAAGGCAGCAAATGGGTGTGCTGATTGGTCTCGAGGGCGATGATGAAATCGTTGATTTCGCTCCGCACAAGTCGAGGTTCAAAGGAGCTAATCGGTCATTGAATGTCCAGGGCGTATTCTCTGGTTGGCGCGAGAAGTGGTGGATATAACCATAGCATACCATAGCTGTAGGGGCCCAACTTATGGGCTTTATTACCATAGTTATACCCATAAATATCCACCCCTGGCCTGCACCCCCACTATCTTAGTTGCAAGATAAAAGTTTAACTTGTAAGTAAATTGTGTTTCTTGGTCTATAAGATCCATTAACATCCATTAACCATAGATACATCTACCACAAAGTGGTGCCCCCAAGATAGCTAAGTTGATTTACAACTCCAATAACTATGGTTTATCATACTTATAACTATACTTGCTGGGGTTTACAAACCAACTTATAACTGGGGGGGGCCACATTGCATCATCTACCATGAACCCAAGTTGTGTTAGTTATGACTAGATCCCCGAAATGAGACCCGACCCAGCCCCCACCAATCCCCGGAATCCCCCGCTCCGCGGGGCGGCTAAGTGGAGCGTATTGACCTCTCAAGACCGCCGCGATCACGTCCTGAACAAAACTTGGTCAACCTGAGAGAACAGCCTACTTAGATGGGCCATGGGATTAGTTAACTGGTTAGTAACATGGGGATAAAACCCTTTATATCCCCATTATAATCCATTTACTAACTAGTTAACTAACTCCATGGTTCATCTAAGTAGGTCCAGCCCAAAATCATCCAATTTGCTGCAGTTGTAGCCCTATAGCTGGCTTATAATGATAGTATAGCCTTAGTTAGCGGAGTTATTTCATCCCATTTGTAATCTGCAGTTGGCCCAGAAATCTGCGAAGCTTTCATGCACGGTTTCAGCGAAATTACTTTACTTCGTGTGATCCCCACCATGACATTTATACATTTTGTTACTGGCAAATCTTCTGGCATTCTATCTGGCATATCTTCTGGCCTATTATCTGGCAAATCTTCTGGCATTCTATCTGGCAAACATTCTGGCACTTTATCTGGCATATCTTCTGGCAATCTATCTGACATTTTATCTGGCATTCTATCTGGCATACCTTCTGGCATTCTATCCGGCATATCTTCTGGCATTCTATCTGGCATAGCTTCTGGCATTTTATCTGGCATATCTTATAGCTTTCTATCTGGCATATCTTCTGGCATTCTATCTGGCCGTTGGGGTCCAGCGGTGCACACTGAGCTGGGCAGGTCCCAGGTTGAGGTCCAGCGGTGCACACTGAGCTGGGAAGGTCCCAGGTTGAGGTCCACCGATCCACACTGAGCTGGGAAGGTCCCAGGTTGAGGTCCAGCGGTGCACACTGAGCTGGGAAGGTCCCAGGTTGAGGTCCTGCAGTGTGCACTGAGCTCGGAAGTTGGCGAAGAGCTTGGCGAAGAGTTGGCAAGGCGGAAGTGGAGGTGGAAGTTGATGCAGACATGGTCGAGGAGAAACTGGCGGAGGAGGCGGAGGAGGAGGAGAGCTAGTCGAGGAGGAAGAGAACAGCTCTGATAAAATGTAAGGTGTGGAAAAACTGAGGATTTTCCATTGCCGTGTTTGACTACCACAGGATAATTTACTGAAGGGCAGCTTGGGACTTAACTATTACACTTAGGGATTGATCATGGATTTCTCTATAGTCAAGTTGTGTATAAATTTTAACTGCAATAACTCTTTAAACTCTGGCGTGAATTGGTGGACATCATGTGTGATTCCCATGTTCAACCCACATTTGGGTGATTTTTTGGGGTATATAATACCTTCCGAGTCTTCGATACCCTGCAGAATCGCTTATTGTTAGCTGATTAGTTGATACAATGTGGGGCCCCCAAGATAGCTAAGTTGGTGAACATAACTCCAATAACTATGATTTATGGTACTTATAACTATAGTTAATTTAATGGGGTTTATAAACCAATAAACATCACTGGGGGGCCCCACTTTGTATGGGGATCCCGACATATTTGGTCAACGAATAATCGGTTGGTTACCTGCGAATATGGCTTGAAATATATCACCATCAACATATAGCAGGTCAAGTTCTGTTTTCGGAAAATCCCTCCGGTTGACCCAGGGAAATTCTAGGAAGATAGGGCCGAAAAAATGGGACGTCACCCGCGAAAAACACCGAAAAAAAACGCAGAAACCAACGGAACCATAGCTAGAAAACCACCACAGATCGCTAGTGAAAATAAACCTGGTGATTATTGTGCCCAATTCGTGGCGTATATTTAAAAATATCTAAAATGTGTTTATAACAATCACCAGTTAAAATTCCCATAAAATCAACGTTTCTCGTTGATGAAGACCCACTATGCGTACTTTTACACGGATTTTTTTGGTTGCTTAGCTTTCCCACTGTGATCAAATTCCATTAAGTATTCCATTTATAGATCATTGCCCAGTCGTGTGCCGTGTGCCCAAAAACAACCACAAAAGATCCAAAACCGCTCTTGAGACGATAATATGGATCATTTCCTGCAGCAAAACTAGGCATTTTCTACAAGGTATAGTGCCCCAGTTCGGAAGCGCTAAGTTGGTAAAAAATCTGCTAAATTTTCCGGTGGTCCTTCGACCGTGATATATCCATAGGCAACAAATTTCAAACATCTGGGGCACCACCGGGCACCGGCGTGGCTTCGGTCCTGTAGGCTGGGCCCCTTGAAGGGCAGCTCCAAACTCAGCAACTCGTACAGGACGACCCCCAGGGACCAAAGATCCGTCGAATGCGAGTAGGGCCGACCTACACGAACAACAACCAGAGATATGTGAAACGCATAGGAAAAGCCACTGTTAAACGTGTAAAGTAACCACATGTAACCATAAAGTGATGGTTTTAGTTCTATACATCCACTTATAACTCTTTACTACAATTTCCAGTTAGAAGCGGATATCTACCTCTAGTTGTAGGGGTTATAGCCCAACCCCATCATCCCTCAACCAGCAAAAAAGATCCAAGAACCGTTGCGAGTTTTAGTCACCATGTGGAGCTAAACCATAGGAACATCATAGAAAAAGCACAAGAAAATAAGGATTTCATGGGATTTATAGCTGATTTATGATAGCTAAGTTGGGGGCCACATAACTCCAATAACTCACTATGGCTTATGGTACGCAAATCTATATATATATATATATACTTACTGGTGTTTATAAACGAACGAACATCATGGGGGGCCCCACATTGTAGGATGTTACTGTTCCATCTTTTTTGCGGAGGTGCGAAATGTACATAAATATACACATTGGTTTGGTGATATGTTCATTTTACAAAACATATCATTCTTAATGCTATATATGGTTACATAAATCATGACATAAAGATTATTGTAAAATGTCACTGAACATGCAATTCCACCTGCTTTCAGCCATACAAATTCACCCCCTGACCTTTCTTTGTGGGTCACACAATGTGAAGCCCAAATGAAAAAATGTTTGTTAGTTAAGATTCACACGATTGCTGTTGAGTATCCATGAACTCATCTGTTGGCCTACAAGCCAACTTAGCTAACAAACTGGGGCACCAGCTTAGCTAAAGTATATTATTATGGTTGGTTCTAGCCGACTATATTAAATATTCACATGATATCCCAGTTGTTAATCCCTGTTGGCCGACAAGCCAACTTAGCAAACAAACTACACCACCGCTGAGGTCCTCAGATCCGATCATTCATCATTGCTTCGTCAGAACTGTTCTTGAATCAAATGGGCTACCGAGGGGCACCACCTAGCTGCTAGCTAGAATGTTGGTTCATGGTGATTCTATCCCACTAAAACTCTTACTGGTGCGTTTTACGTAGGGAATGGATGGGTTGCTGGGGGTTGCTGGGATGATTATTTTCATAGTTGTTATGGATCATTCCCGACAATTCCCTGCGTTTAGGACCAGTAAGTATTCCAATCTTAAAATCCCAGTATATCACCGTTTCCGTTGGCTAAGTTGGTTTCCGTTGGCTAAATGCATCAAGTGTAAATCAAATTCAAATTTTCCAGCGATAAATTGAGGTCAACTCGCTTTGGGAATGCCACAGATTTTCGATCTTTGACACCTTGGCGAATCGCTGGAACAAAGAAATGTCACATGTCTAGCGAAGATACCAAAAAATCCACAACAACTTTGGAGGGATTTAACCTATGGTTATTGAATCTATGGAAAATTACACTTATCAGATGTTTTAATAGGTCAATCTAGGTAAATCTAGGTAAATCTAGGTAAATCTAGGTAAATCTAGGTAAATCTAGGTAAATCTAGGTAAATCATAAATGGGCCATGTTCCGTAGCTATGTCAAATTCAGGGTATACATCAAAAAACCATTGCTTGATTCAGGCTGTTCTTCCAGGGCTTGTGCAATTGCTGCTGTCTGACTCTGCCCGTCATGGAACATGCCAATTGACCTGGCATCTATCAGTTTGATGCTGACGGTGCCATCCTTTGTCAGGTGCCGAAGCATGACCACCTGCAAGGTCTCATGGCGGGCAAACATGCCATTGCCCAATGTGACCAGGTCAAATGTGACTGACACGGGGACCTGACCCCAAGTGTGGGCAGCAGCTCATTGATGGCTTCACCATCACTTTCTGAGAGGTAACGGCTTGTCACTTGCTCTGACAACCGAACGAATTGAACTGATGCATACTTGTCACCAGTGTCAGCAGTTGCTTGGATAGATCTCCACTAGGGATCTTCAATCATGTTCATCATTCTCTTCTCCTCACGTCTGGTTGGTGTCTGCCAATCAGATCGGTTTCCCGAATCAAAAATACATAGAAAAATACAATCTTTGACCTTTGAACCGTGAACGTGCCGAACATGTTCACGAAATGTCCATGATTTTCATATGTTTCCAGCTATCAACATGAATTTATAGAGGATTCCCCATGGGTTTTCCTATGGTTTTCCTGTTGTCTTCCCAGATTTTCCTATGATTTTCCTGTGGTTTTCCCATATTTTCCCAAACCTCTACATATTGCGTTCGGGGATTTCCCATGTTTTTCCGATGGGGAAACCCGATGCGTTTCCCCTACCTTCGATGATCTCCGGCGAGAAGTACCTCGGCAGATACGGCAACGGCGCGTCAACAGCTCGAAAAAGACACCAAAACCATAGGAACATCATGGGAAACTATTGGAAAACCATAGGTTTTAAATCATGGACAACTATAGATGAAATGGGAAAGGGAAAACTATGGGAAACCATGAAAAATCCCGAAAATGGATGTGTTAATGGGAAATCATGGGAAAACGATGGAAAATCCCTGAACCAAATGGAGGTTAAACATTGTTAAACCATGGGAAAAATCCCATCGAAAAAAAAACTGGGACATCCTCTATATATGTTGATCTCTAACTGCCAAATTCCGCACGAAATTCGTGGGGATTCAATCATTATATATGGTGGTGTCCTAAAATAAGGGTACCCACAAAGCATCCATTTTTATAGCATATAAACCATTCAAAACCAGCTATTGGGGTACCCCCATTAGACTATGGACACCTCCATGTTCGGGGATTCAATGAAACCTTTCAGCCAGCGGAACCCCCACAGTTATGGCCCTTAACAGTTATAAATGGCTCTATAATGATATATAACCCTAGTTATAGGAGTTATAATTCCATTTATAGCTGTTTATAACTCCTATAACTAGGGTTATATATATATATATCATTATAAACCCATAAAAAAAAACTGTTAGTTGGACCATCACTGCAGGTTCTTCTTCGTCGTGTTTTCGTCCAAGGCACAACGGGGTGCCGTAGAAGGAGTGCAAACACATGGTCTTCTCAGACATTTGTCGCGACACGCCAAAGTCACCCAGCTTGATCACGCCTCGTGGATGGCTCCGGGATGGGACGTAAATCAGGGGATTTCTTGGGAGATCAACAAAATTGGGACTTTTCAGGGGATTTCATGACAAAATACACTGCAATTGGTGGTTGAGCCCTAGCCCTCTGAAAAATGATGGAGTGAAAGTCAGTTGGGATGATGGAATTCCATGAAATTCCCAATATGATGGGAAAAATAAAAAATGTTCCAAACCACCAACCAGTATATGATGTATGAATGGTGGATTTCCATTGCTATGTTTGATTGCCGGAGGCCCCAAACATGACTATCATGTCATGACTGTGTCCACTCGAATTGCTGAATTGCTTCCTGCAATTGAACTTCGATGGTCCTGGCCATTGTATCCAATTGAGGGGCCCCAACTCTGTATGCCAATCCCCTATATGGTTATCAAACGTGGCTGGAAAATCCCTGAACTAAATGGGGATGTGTCAAAACCTATTATTAACATGTTTTGGGGAATTTTTACATCCCATTAACCAGCTATGACTTAGGGTACACAGGGTTTTCCCTGGTTTTGACTCATAGCTAAAAGGAGCTTCAACAAATGGGGGAACCTTAGATCCCCTGCAAAAAATGAAAAAATCTTAGCTGGTGAACGTAGATAATCCCATTGATACAAAAAGACTATTTTGGATTAGTTTCTACCCATCTAAGATCGACCTAGTTCCCATTGATGTGGTAAACCCAATAAGAATCCCCTTTATTTATAGTGCCGGACATATACTTAGAACATTGGTTTTGGAATTCCAAAACATGTTCTAAGTAGAGATCCTGGACCACTACTTAGAACATATATGTTCACGGGATGTTCTAAGTAGAGGTTTTGGGGGTTCCCCCATGTTCTAAGTAAGAATCTCCCCAGCTATCTACGTGCATTTTTGGAAAAGATAATCCTATATATTCATTGATGATGTTCAAAAAGACTCATTATTGGATGTAGGCTTTGGACCATTCCAACCGCTCAATCGGTCATATAATTTCAATATACCTCAGACATCTCCATGTATCTTAACGCAACATCACACCACCTGTATATATAATATAAATATGCAGTGTTAAGTTGTATGTATGTATACATATACATATATTTACATGTATATATGATGGCATGTTCTAAGTAGAGGATCCTCATATGTTCTAAGTCACTTAGAACATACGTCCCCCTATTCGCCGAAAATGTTCTAAGTAGAGCGCGCGTACCCACCGAAAAATTTCCAAAACGATGTTCTAAGTAGTTGTCCGGCGCTATATCCACTTTAGATTCGGATTTTCCCATGGAAATAGTCACCATCCAGCTATTGGGCTATCCCCATGACGACCTGGAAACCCCCATGTTCCAAGGGCACCTTCGTCCGTGAGGAAGAGATTCATGGATTTGATATCCTGAACGAACCGCGAACGGACCGCGGACGGTTCCCCGAACGGCGAACTGCGTCTCGTTTAGGGACACCAAATCATGGCTACGGGTCCACGCCATCTACGGAGCCCTCCAAAAAACGATGATTTTAGAGATTTAAGATGATTTAAGCAGCCAAGAATGGGATTGAACCAGCCTAGACACCTGGAAATGAGAAGAATCAAACCAGTAAAACTATATAGTTAAGGACCTACACTTAGAACACAAAGTGTTCTCCGCAAAAAAAACATACGCTTAGAACACCGTTCTGCTGCCGGTGAAATTTACCCTAACTGTTCTAAGTGAAGGCTTAGAACATGTTCTAAGTGAGCCACTTAGAACATCAGCAGAAACGTGTTAGAACACATCTTATATTTCCAACATGTGTTCTAAGTGTATGTCCGTCCATGTAAAGTAGTCAAACAAAACAATTGGTAAGGCATATATACAATATTGTATTAAAATGCAATATAACATAAAATAAAATGGGGTAATATATATATATATAATATAATAACATATAATATAATATAATATAATTCTACCCCAAAACACCATATAACTTTAACAACATGTTTCAATTGTCTTTTACATGTTATTCAGAAGACATGACGTTTAATTAGGCACTACTTTCATTAGGCACTAAAAAGCCACCAAGATCACGACCCGCTGCCTGAAAGGTTTGGTTCTACCTATAACTAGGAGCACAAAAAAGTATCAACCATTCTCACCAATTTGGGTATTGATTTTCTCTTATTGGAAGTGTTCTAAGTGTGTGGTCCGCCACCTAAGGAAGCCCCACCAAGGAGGCCACCACCATCACCCAGAAATGTGTTTAGGTTTCCTGTAAATAGATTATAAATTGTGGCATGGGTTTATTTGTTGTTGGCCACTCGAAGGACGGAGAGCATGTGTATCAAACACTGTCACCAACTTGAGTATTGTGTTCCTTTTCAATGTGTTTCCTTTTTGCAAGTGTTCTAAGTGTGTGGTCCGCCACCTAGGGAGGCCACCAACATCACCCAGAAATGTGATTGTTTGGTTCCTTTAAAAACAAATACTTTTGAGATGGGGTGAGTTGCTGTTGACCACTGGAGGGATGAAGAGCAGGTCTGTCAAACATCCTGACCAGTCACCAACCAGAGTATTAAATGTCTGATTTTGGAAGTGTTCTAAGTGTGTGGTTCACCACCTAGGGAGGCCGCCACCATCACCTAGAACTGTGATTATTTGGTTCCTTTAAAAACAAATACTTTTGAGATGGGGTGAGTTGCTGTTGACCACTGGAGGGATGAAGAACAGGTCTGTCAAACATCCTGACCAGTCACCAACCAGAGTATTAAATGTCTGTTTTGGAAGTGTTCTAAGTGTGTGGTTCGCGACCTAGGGTGGCCACCACCATCACCTAGAAATGTGTTAAAGCGTCCTTTTTAAATTTATAATTACTTTTGTCATACAGGTTTATTTGTTGTTGGCCACTCGACTGACGGAGAGCATGTGTATCAAACACTGTCACCAACTTGAGTATAAATTTTCCTTTTTCCAAGTGTTCTAAGTGTGTGGTTCGCCACCTAAAAAGGCCACCAACATCACCCAGACATGTGCTTCAAGATGCATTAAGTGTACTTTTAAGATAGATAATTACTTGTGACATGGGATTATTTGTTGTTGGCCACTCGAAGGACGGAGAGCATGTGTATCAAACACTGTCACCAACTTGACTATCCTGTTCCTTTTCAATGTGTTTCCTTTTTGCAAGTGTTCTAAGTGTGTGGTCCGCCACCTAGGGAGGCCACCAACATCACCCAGAAATGTGTTTTTTGTTTGGTTCCTTTAAAAACAAATACTTTTGAGATGGGGTGAGTTGCTGTTGACCACTGGAGGGATGAAGAACAGGTCTGTCAAACATCCTGACCAGTCACCAACCAGAGTATTAAATGTCTGTTTTGGAAGTGTTCTAAGTGTGTTTTGGCCACCACCATCACCTAGAAATGTGTTAAAGCGTCCTTTTTAAATTTATAATTACTTTTGTCATACAGGTTTATTTGTTGTTGGCCACTCGACTGACGGAGAGCATGTGTATCAAACACTGTCACCAACTTGAGTATAAATTTTCCTTTTTCCAAGTGTTCTAAGTGTGTGGTTCGCCACCTAGGGAGGCCACCATCACCCAGAAATGTTTTTGTTTTTTAGTTTTGTTTTCAAATTAATGATTACTTGTGGCATGGGTTTTTATTTGTTGTTGGCTACTCGAAGGACGGAGACCATGTGTATCAAACACTGTCAACAACTTGAGTATTGCATTTTTTCCTTTTTTGCAAGTGTTTTAAGTGTTTGTTTCGCCACTTAGTAGGGAGGCCACCAACATCACCCAGACATGTGCTTTTGTGCCCTTTAAGATAGATAATTACTTGTGACATTGGTTTATTTGTTGTTGGCCACTCGAAGGACGGGGAGCATGTGTATCAAACACTGTCGCCAACTTGAGTATTGTTTTTCCCCTTTTTGCAAGTGTTCTAAGTGTGTGGTTCGCCACCTAGGGAGGCCACCAACATCACCCAGTGCTTATATAAGTTTTCTTTTAAAAAAACAGACTTGTGAGATGTGGTTAGTTGTTGTTTACTACTTGAGGGATGAAGAAACGGTGTGTCAAACATTCTGACCAGTCACCAACGAGAGTATTGATTTTCTCTTTCTGGAAGTGTTCGAAGTGATTGGTTCGCCACCTAAAAAGGCCACCAACATCACCCAGACATGTGCTTCAAGATGCATTAAGTGTACTTTTAAGATAGATAATTATTTGTGACATTGGTGTTTATTTAATGGCCACTCGAAGGACGGAGAGCATGTGTATCCAACACTGCCACCAACTTGAGTACAATGTTCCCTTATTACAAGTGTTCTAAGTGTCTGGTTCGCCACCTAGGGAGGCCACCAACATCACCCAGAAATTTGTTTAAGTTCCCTTTTGAAATGGATACTTTTTGAGATTGGTTTAGTTGTTGTTGGCCCCTCGAAGGACGGAGACCATGTGTATCAAACACTGTCACCAACTTGAGTATTGCATTTGCCCTTTTTTGCAAGTGTTTTAAGTGTTTGTTTCGCCACTTAGTAGGGAGGCCACCAACATCACCCAGAAATGTGTTTAATTGTCCATTTTGAAAATATAATTGGTCAATTATTAGTGACATGTTTTTTTTTGCTGTTGGCCACTCGAAGGACAGAGAGCATGCGTGTGCTGGGAATGAGTTCACCCCATTTGTATTTGGGATCAGGTCCATCAGCGGTGGTAGCGCGTCGCCCACCTAGGTCAAAGATATGTTGGATTTACACAAAAGAAACATCTTGTTTACAGTAGATTTAGTTGTCATATGTTACCATCCAATATCTTTTGGTGATACCATTTAATCTTCTCATGTTGATGTTTTCGTCTGCATTTTTTCAATGATTTCCAGCGGCCCAGTTCGTTCCTATTTATAGTTAAGGACATACACTTAGAACACTATTTGGAAAACGAAAATCAAAAATTCGGCAGCAGAATGTGTTCTAAGTGTACACTTAGAACACCCACCAAAACCCATACACTTAGAACATGTTCTAAAAGGTACTTAGAACACTTTGGGGGTAATTTATGTGTTCTAAGTGTATGTCCGCAATTTAAATTATGTAAGGATTGGTACAGCCTTCAGCAGGGGTCAATGGATACATAGACAATTAATGTGATAAACCCAAGAATAAACCATCCCATTAAATAATCATTTGGGCCACATGTGGAGGTCATTTTACATCATCTCAAATAGAGCTATACCGAAAATTATCCAATTGGAAATATCTTTTTGGGGATGGTATACTTAAGGTTTAAGTTGATCATTGAAAAATTCAAAAAATGACTATTCCCCAAATGATCGATTTCTAATTAAAATCTTTATAAAAATCATCAGTTTGGATAGCTCCCAAAGGGTACCCCCCATGAGCCCATGTCCCCCATTAATAATAACCATGGTTTGCCCCCGATTAATCAACCACCTTTCTGATCCATGAGATTTTAACAAATCCAATAGAATTCAATTAAGATCTAATTGACGTAAGCCATATCCAAATTTTTATGGTTCAGAGTTTCTTATTATTAAGGGGTAGTCAAGAAACTAGCCAGAAGGTACCCCCCTACCTACCTGGTGGGGGGGGGTTGATTAATCCGATGTTGGCATTATATATATATAAATACACATATGTATGTATACCGGGGTACCTTTGCAGATCCACATAAAGCAACTAGCAAAGGAAGATAGGATTGGAGTGAAAATTCAGCTGGAACCCCAAACCAAAGGGCGTTCAAACTCTCCGTTGGTGGCCAACAACAACTAAATTCATCTCAAAAGTATATCTATATATACATATATATATATATATGTGTGTGTGTTTAGATGGAAGTTAACACATTTTTGGGTGATCTTGGTGGCCTCCCTAGGTGGCCAACCACACACTTAGAACACTTCAAAAATGTGAAATTTATTATGAAGTTGGTGACTGGTGTTAATGTTTGACACGAAAGGTTTCACAACCCTCATAGTGTGGGCAATTTCATTGAAAATGGATAGACGAATTTGAGTATATGGTGGAGCAACTTCGTAGGCTTTTCCATCCCAGGATAGTTCTAGGAAACCCCACCGCTCTTTGCGGCTATAGTTGACAATATCCCAGAACTCTGGCGCAAATTCTTTCTCAAGGGCATTATTGAGGGTAGAAAAGATTATCCATGATACCTCATGAATATGCAAATGGTATTCTACCAGCGTGAAGTCATACGTTGTTCGGCAGTCTCCAACCCAGAGCGTACCTCCCTGGCATCTGGCATGTTCCAGTTCATCCCGGTCGATATGTCTCTTAATCGTGCATCTTCGACTGCGATTGCGCCAGATGGATACGCTGTCTGTTTCGGCATACCAGCAACAGGTACCCTGCAGTGGTTGCACAACTCGGGCAATTGAGGTGCTTGCGCAGTGCACGGGGCTGGCCGTCAGTCGTAATTGGGTTTCAGTAGCCAAACGACGGGAACCCCGCGTCGGCACTAGCGCGCAACAAATCAGGCAAAATCAAGAATCGAAACGGATGTTCCAAAACCATCTCCGTCAGATTCACACTCCCATAAGGAGTCGTGTGAAGGTGTACGAGCCGAGCAGATGAGGGTTAGTCATAAATATCCCTATTGATCAGTAGCAAAATTCATTTAAAGTTTTGTTTCTTCGCTTAGGGTTGGCAAATATCCCCATTGATACAATGTGCCCTCCCCAGTTATAAGTTGGATTTTGAACAGCACTAGTTCTTAGTATCATTTTACCTATAAACCAACTTAACTATACTTATGAATATCATAAACCTATAGTTACTGTACCTACAGTGCATGGTTGCGAAATCCTGCACCACCAAAAGGATAGTAACATGTTAAAACCCTAAAATTAATGATGGGATGTTTACCCTCTATCAACTGGTGCAAGATTTCTTCCATCCATAGTAACTTTTGGGTTGTGGTTATAGGTATCATAAACCCTAACTACTGTACCTATAAACCAACTTAACTATAGTTATAAGATAGTTATAAGTATCATAAGCCATACTTTGGAGTCCAATAATGTTGTTTTTGTAAAAAGAGAGGGGCCGGTTTGGTATACCATCTATCATCAGTTACCTGTTCCTAGAGGGGTTTCTTCAAACGCCTCTATTCATCAACCAACGAATGGGAAAAGGGCATCTATGAATGGCTTCAAGAAAACAGTCGAAAACAAAGGAATTGAATGTGATTCTGCAAAACCGGCAGATTACAGTATGTACAGGAATTTGTTTTACAAATAGAACTCTAAATGCAATGTGGTGCCCCACAGTGATGTTAGTTGGTTTATAAACACCCATGAAAACTATGGTTAAAAGTATCATAAACTTTCATAAACTCTATAGTTATTGGATGTTATTATCTTATTGGAATTATAAACCCTATTAACTATGGTTATAAGTACCATAAACCATAAACCATGGTTAAACTAGTTATGTTCACCAATAACTATGGTTATTGGAATTATAAACCAACTTAGCTATCGCCTGGCCCCACAAACAGATCGCAACGATCGCAACGATCGATTCACCGAGATGCCCGATGCACAATGCCTCGCGCGTGGATGTGACGAAGACCCAGCAAAACCTAGCGCGTTTTGGGCGTGAAGCGGCGAAGTTTCTATTGGATTACTATTGGTATTCTTTTGGTTATAATGATCCTTAATAGTAAATGTATGCAAGGATGATTGGTCTTAAGGATAATCAATATAATGACTTAATATCCAATATATATTGGCTAGATAATTATTTATATTACTATTGGTGATAATAATGATCCTTCACAATTGGAAAATGTATGTAAATGTCCCAAAAAATAACCTCAATTATTGGGGATATAAACTGGTCACAAAAAAAATATGTAGAAAACAGTGCCAATCTTAGATACCCTGCCAAAAATGACAGATTCTTAGCTGGTGAACGTAGATAATCCCATCGATACCAAAAGACACCAAAAGATTAAAGTAACTAATGTTGGGTTAGGATTAATAAAACCCCCAAATTAATCATACCCCTTTTCACCGGATTTTTTTGGGCAATACTAAAGTCCTCTACGTGCTGATTTCCCCCCCTAATAATGGAACACTACCCCCGAATTAATCATACCCCTCCGGGATCCCCAAATTTTTGGTGGGACTAATTTGCTATTACTCCCTTTTACTTTTTAATTCGGGTTACAATTTCCAGGGTTACTTCCTATTTTGGTTTACCATAGGTATTCTTATCTTTTCTCATTGGAATCTGATGGTTTACCATTCATTTTCGAATCTTCCCTCATAGGAATTTGATGGTTTCTACGTGGTTTCCTCATCTTCCCTCAGATGGTTTACCAAAGGTTTTCTGATCTTTTCTCATTGGAATTTGATGGTTTACCATAGTTTTTCTCATCTTTTTTCATAGGAATTTCATGGTTTACCATTCATTTTCGAATCTTCCCTCATAGGAATTTGATGGTTTACCATACGTTTTCTGAACTTTTCTCATAGGAATCTCATGGTTTACCATTCATTTTCGAATCTTTCCTCATAGGAATTTGATGGTTTCTACGTGGTTTCTTCATCTTCCCTCAAAGGAATTTGATGGTTAACCATAGGTTTTCCTATCTTTTCTCATAAGAATTTGATGGTTTACCATAGGTTTTCTGAACTTTTCTCATAGGAATCTCATGGTTTACCATTCATTTTCGAATCTTTCCTCATAGGAATTTGATGGTTTCTACGTGGTTTCCTCAACTTCCCTCAAGGAATTTGATGGTTAACCATAGGTTTTCCTATCTTTTCTCATAAGAATTTGATGGTTTACCATAGGTTTTCTGAACTTTTCTCATAGGAATCTCATGGCTTACCATTCATTTTCGAATCTTCCCTCATAGGAATTTGATGGTTCTACGTGGTTTCCTCATCTTCCCTCATAGGAATTTGATGGTTTACCATAGGTTTTCTAATCTTTTCTCATAAGAATTTGATGGTTTACCATAGGTTTTCTGAACTTTTCTCATAGGAATCTCATGGTTTACCATAGGTTTTCTGATCTTCCCTCTGTGCAAGGGCTGTTCTTTCAGTAGGTCGAAGCCGCGCTATTGCCAAACACACTGGTTTCAGAGGTTTTTTGTGGGTTGGCTCATCATGTTGGGAAGAGGTGACTCTCTTTCATTGCAAGAGCTGCGCTTTCATTAGGTCGAAGCCGCGCTATTGCCAAACACACTGGTTTCAGACGTTTTTTGTGGGTTGGCTCATCATGTTGGGAAGAGGTGACTCTCTTTCATTGCAAGAGCTGCGCTTTCAGTAGGTCGAAGCCGCGCTATTGCCAAACACACTGGTTTCAGAGGTTTTGTGTGGGTTGGCTCATCATGTTGGGAAGAGGTGACTCTCTTTCATTGCAAGAGCTGCGCTTTCATTAGGTCGAAGCCGCGCTATTGCCAAACACACTGGTTTCAGAGGTTTTTTGGCTCATGATGATGGGAAAAGGTGACTTTTTATCGTTGCAAGAGCCTTTCGTGAGCTGGAGGCGACTACCAAAGGGCTGGGGAGGGTTATTTGGGGGGGTTTCATTAATTGGGGGGGTTGTTTGGGGGTTTGGCTGCGGGTTTGGTTGGGGGGTTAGGGGGGGTGTTGCGCATTGTGTTTTTGATTCCGGCAAACCCCTTTCCAGGCCCAGTCAGTGGTTCTATAAAGCCTTTTTTTGCCATTTAGGTCAAGCCCCCGCGGCATAGTGGTATTGAATAGGCTCTGGGCCAATGGACCCAGGTTCGATTCCCGGAGGGTGCGTCTTGCAGCCCGGGGGTGGCACACAGCTGGCTTGAATGCTTGTGTGTTGTGCGCCTTTCTCTGCCAATGTCTTGCTGTTATGTTAGCTACGTTTGCCTGCTTCTGGACATTGCCTCTGATTACTTCCAGTGGCTTTCTTTCATTGCAAGAGTTGTGCTTTCCGTAGGTCGAAGCCGCACTATTGCCAAACAGACTGGTTTCAGATGTTTTTTGTGAAGTTGCCATCAATTGGGCAATTAATTGTTCCAACTACATCAACATTGCCTGATCTTTCCTCATCCACCTCGCAAGTTTAATATACGTTTGCAATGTGGCAGTTTCAAGACGCCAAAACTGGAAAAAAAACGCATCCCCCAAATGATCGATTTCTAATTAAAATTTAATTAAAAAATGCTGTTTTTGGGAGCTCAGAAAGGCTACCCCCCTTGAGCGGTGTCCCCCCCACAAATAAAAGGACGCCCCCCGCAATTAGTAAACCCCAGCCAGCCGCAATAAGTTTTTTTGTATGCGTGCTTCAGATTGCAATCAATGAAGCAATGAACTGATTCAACAACTACATCAACATTGCCTGATCTTTCCTCATCCACCTCGCAAGTATAATATACTTTTGCAATGCGCCAGTTTCAAGACGCCAAAACTGGAAAAAAAAACGCATCCCCCAAATGTTCGATTTCTAATTAAAATTTAATTAAAAAATGCTGTTTTTGGGAGCTCAGAAAGGCTACCCCCCTTGAGCGGTGTCCCCCCCACAAATAAAAGGACGCCCCCCCCAATTAGTAAACTGCAGCCAGCCGCGATGACTTTTTTTGTATGCGTGCTTCAGATTGCAATCAATGAAGCAATGAACTGATTCAACAACTACATCAACATTGCCTGATCTTTCCTCATCCACCTCGCAAGTATAATATACTTTTGCAATGTGCCAGTTTCAAGACGCCAAAACCGGAAAAAAAAACGCATCCCCCAAATGATCGATTTCTAATTAAAATTTAATTAAAAAATGCTGTTTTTGGGAGCTCAGAAAGGCTACCCCCCTTGAGCGGTGTCCCCCCCACAAATAAAAGGACGCCCCCCCCAATTAGTAAACCCCAGCCAGCCGCGATGAATTTTTTACATGCGTGCTTCAGACTGCAATCAATTAAGCAATGAATTAGTTCAACAACTATATCAACATTGCCTGATCTTTCCTCATCCACCTCGCAAATATATTTTTGCAATGTGGCTTTCAAGACGCCAAAACTGGAAAAAAAAAACGCATCCCCCAAATGATCGATTTCTAATTAAAATTTAATTAAAAAATGCTGTTTTTGGGAGCTCAGAAAGGCTACCCCTTGAGCGGTGTTCCCCCCCACAATAAAACGCCCCCCCCAATTAGTAAACCCCCGCCAGCCCGATGACTTTTTTATATGCTGCCTTCAGATTGATAATTGAAGCAATGGAATTGATTTCACAACTACATCAAACATTGCCCTGATCTTTTCCTCATCCACCCTCGCAAATATACTTTTGCAATGTGCCAGTTTCAAGACGCCAAAACTGAAAAAAAAAACGCATCCCCCAAATGATCGATTTCTAATTAAAATTTAATTAAAAAATGCTGTTTTTGGGAGCTCAGAAAGGCTACCCCCCTTGAGCGGTGTCCCCCCCACAAATAAAAGGACGCCCCCCCCAATTAGTAAACCCCAGCCAGCCGCGATGACTTTTTTATATGCGTGCTTCAGACTGCAATCAATTAAGCAATGAACTAGTTCAACAACTATATCAACATTGCCTGATCTTTCCTCATCCACCTCGCAAATATGTTTTTCCAATGTGGCACTTTTTACTACTGCTACTACTACTGCTGCTAATAC